TCACTAAACCGTCAACTATCTCATTCAGAGACACCTCAGTGGCTCTCTTCACCAACATTGAGACATAATTCAGATTTCACGTTAATTCTTTCCACACTTATGTAGCAATTTGATAACCTGATCATCATTACAATACTTAAGACGCGTACATACACACATGCAGCTGATAACTGATGGGTTATCTTGTGAAACGAAAAACATTTTAGGTGTTTTTCCTGAATTTATTCAGAACTTCTCATTAGTTAGGCAGCTCTCTCACTTGTAAACATGTTTGTCCCAGCTGTAGGAGTAAAGCACATTCATGAGAAGTGTGGAGCATTCTGTGCTGATCTCACCATCAGATTTCACTCACAGAGCAGGCTTTTTTTTTCAGTTATTGCCCATAACTGTAAGTTGAAGTTTGTTGTATGTACACCAACCATGTAAAAGTACACCAATAATGATAATGAATTAAAAAATTTACTTTAAAAAGGCAGCAGATGGATCATATCTGGGTAAAAGTGTCACCATGTCTCAATTCAGACACATTTGATTTGAGAGTAGAAGCCAAGCGCTGAATGCACTTTCAAATGAGGAGAAAGGGAAGTATTAAGCTGTTCGTCCGATTGATAAACATAAAACTAAAAGTTTGTATGAGTGTTTAAGTCTACGTCTGGAGTCTCGGTGTGTGTGTGTGTGTGTGTGTGTGTGTGTGTGTGTGTGTGTGTGTGTGTGTGTGTGTGTCAGACCTGTGGAATGCTGTCAGCGTGTGCCCAAGGCCATCTGCAGGAAGATTTACAGTCCTGTCGATGTGGGTTCTGTCTTTCTACTCTGATCTCAGCAGCCATACATAGAATTACTCACACACGCTATAACTCAGCTGCTGGGACATTCCCTGACACACAGCATTTCTCTAACGTCCAACAGATTAACTAAAATGGCCGGAAAGGTGACAAATAAATAGAGCAGCAGATTTTGTGTTGTTGAGTTTAGAACATCTCACTGGGCTTCAACTGTTGCTGACGAACTATATGAACAGCATCTGTGCAGGTATTTCAGAAAAGTCTCAAAATGTTGGTTTTTTTTTTCCTAGATATGAGCTGAAAGGCCTTCATGCTGGAATTTTGACCATGACTGATGAATTTGTGCAGCATCATAAATTAACTGAGTGGTCTCTGGGGAATGAAACTCACTTTGATTTAGTTTTAGTGAGTGAGAAAGTGCTGGGTAAATAGCAAACAACATGAGACACAAATAAGACTGTTACTGAATTTTAACTGTTTGTTTGTGATTATCAATATAAAGAAAGTGTTGTGTACAGAGATGGTAGATCACTTGAATTCTAATAGCACCTTCCAGGGTTCCAAAACCCCCAAGGTGCTTCACAACGCATCCAGTCATTCACCCATGTACACACACACACACACACACACGCTGGTGGTGATGAGCTTCATCATAGCCACAGCTGCCCTGGGGCTCACTGAGGGATGCAAGGTTGCCGTTCACAGGCACCACCGTTTCCATGGACACCACCAGCAGGATACTTGGGTTATGTGTCTTTCTCTTAAGTACACAGCGGCTGCGACATTGTGAGCAGGACTCAGTCATGCAATCATGCACTTACGAGACAGGCTCTTAACTCCCCAGCCACCATTGTCCCAGATGAGATGAGAACTCAAGTCTTGTGAACAATCTTTATCTAATGTAATCTGAAGTGAAAGTAAGCAGGTTAGTAAGCCACAAACAAGAGGTGAGCACAGCTCCCTGGTCCAGGACAAAGTGAGTCGTTAACCTGTGCAATTTGGGATTTTATCTAAATGCGACACCATATTTACTATAGTTTACAACAGTTTGCACCATCAACATAGGTTTGCACCAATCAAACCCAGTTTTTCACTAGTGAAATAAAAATCTGCAGAAGCATTTATTTATTTAAAAAAAAACTTACAAAGTCAAATAAATATTTATTTCTATCATCAGACTTGGACCTTAAAGACTCTTAAAGACACTAGACATCACTTGGACTTGCCCCTCGAAAACTGGAGACTTGATTTTGTCAGACTGGGATGAACTGGTCTGAAAAAACAGGGAGTTCAGATGTGGCATGCAGTATGACCCAGGTACGGAAGTATTGGCGTTAAATGAGACTGCAGTTAATATAGGAATCGCTGAGCAGGGATTTCCAGAAGTAAGAGAAAACAGACTTACGGGTAGTAGCATAGACTGTACATACGGGTAGTAGGCAGTTTTCTAGGTGGAGTTGGCTTGGAAAGCAATTGGAAACGTGTGGCTCGATCGAAAGAATCAATGACTGAGTGACCGCCCTATGTGTTGGACTTCCGTAAATAGATGAGGCTGGTGACATGGAGTGGACAATCCGGTGAGCGGGATGCTGGGTAATGTAGTCCTAGTTGATAGAATTGCGTCCAGGTTGGTGGCTGGGGTTCGCGACAGATTTAGCTTTGAACTTAAGAGGTTTAGGACTTGACTAAAACCTGGCCCTCAAAGATGCAAGACTTCACTTGAGAGTGACTTGGACTTCTGCCTAAAAGATTTGGGACTTGACTTGGGCTTCATAAAATACTCAAGACTTGGAAAATTGACTTGTGAACATCTGTTTCCATCTAGTTGCAAGTAGTGTCAGCCCAGTGAGCCTTTATGAAATCCAAAGCTGTGTGTTCTAGAGGAGCATCCTCGTGTCACCACTTTTTATTACATGAACATACAAGCCAGTCATTTTTAACCAAAGGACAAATATAATGTAACTGTTTTTAAATCTGCACGCAAAAACCGATCTGTTTTTGTATATGTCTCTTTCCAGTTTGTGTGTACCGTTATAGCCATCCTCCTTCATTACTTCTACATGTGCACCTTTGCCTGGATGTTCGTTGAGGGGCTGCACATCTACCGCATGTTGACGGAGCAGCGCAACATCAACCACGGCCACATGAGGTTCTACTACGCCATAGGCTGGGGCATACCAGCTATCATCACTGGTGAGAAACACACAGCAGCAAGCACAAACACAACCTCCGACAAACAAATCTGTGGAAGAGAGCGGAGCTGCCGGCAAACTTCAAGCTGTGACTAGTCTGTCATGTGTAGATCCTCGTGGGAACGTTATTGAACAAGACACCGGAAGAATGAGACATACTGAGACATGATCTTCGAATCGTCAAAAACAAGATGAAACTGTAGTTTATGTAATGTAGAAGAAGAATGACTAAATGTGTTTCTATTGCACATTCGTAGCTGATACTTGTCAGTAAGACTCATTTTAGTTTGTTTTACTCAGCTTCAATAGATTGAGAGCCCTTGAGACAGATTCCCTGTGTTGTAACTGCCTTCTGTCATTTTGTACATAACGTCTGTGTAACAGAAACATTTTCTAACTGTAACTTTTGCTGCCGCTTGGCTGGAACTCCCTTGAAAATGAGGTTTTTAATCTCAATGGGATCTTCCTGGTTAAATAAAGAATACATTCAATAAAAAACATTAGAGGTAAACTGAAATAGAAATTAATTTCAAATAATAGGCTGGAACTCTAGAAAATTGTATGAAAGGTGAGACGTGAAAACTAAAACTATTCATGTGTGTTAGAACAAGTGAGGAGGAATAAAAGGTACAAATGCAGAAAAACTTAGACTTTTTTATCTTGTTGTTTTGATGTGTTTGTGTAGGTTTGGCAGTAGGCCTCGACCCTCAGGGTTATGGGAACCCGGATTTCTGCTGGCTTTCAATCCATGACACTCTCATCTGGAGCTTTGCAGGACCCATCTTTGTAGTTGTCCTGGTATGTGCCTGAATTACAGCTTTCTTCTTTTTCAATAAAAGCCACCATAAGGTGGGCTATAATATTTTTGCTTGTATGACCTTTTCCTGCAAATTTTAAAGCCCAGGCCCCACTGTACGTTTTTCAGCCATCGTAGACATATCTCTCATCGTGAACAGAATCGTGACAAGAAATGGTGAATGTGAGGGTGATTTGCAGCTTTGTCCAGTGTGACCAGCCCAGCGACAGTTTATTGAACATTCCCACAACTAAATACAGTCTTCAAGCTGTGTCAGAAAACCTGGTTTAAGTACAACCAATGAATCTACACCGAGGAAGTGACGTGATAAACCAGTGATAGGATTACAATGTCAAAGTTGCAGTAGCATCATTAGCAACAATGGAGGCTACGCATGAGAACATGTGGACCACTCCTTTTTTGGAGACCAGTTAGGAGTTTAACAAAAGAAGCGTTACCGTTGTTGTGTTGGGTATTTGTCAGCTCTGTGTGATCTATGCTTTTTTGCGAGTATGCTTGTGATGATGGTGTGTCCTACTGGAGCGGGACGTCGTGTAGTTTGGCTAATGGAGATACAGGTTGATGGTTTACCTGAAAAGATGTACTGCTTGTCCCACCTTCGTCAATGCCTTTGCACTAACGTGCTCCTCTAATCGCCCCTCTGGACATAAGCGGGCCATCAGCTGGGGACCACCAGTCATTGATGTTTTGCTCCTTTAACCCCAGTACATCTCATGGTGGTTGAGCGATGGCTGGGATTTCTCCCAACCACCCCCTACTCATGCCCTAGGGTTATATGACCCCCAACTCCTTTCCTTTCTCCTCAACTACAGCCAAATATTGCTCTTCTCAGCCTCCTGTCAGCTCTTTGAGAGCTTTCCGACACCTTGTTCCCGTGCATCCCGGGTCATGGAGCATGCATATCATTGCGGACCCTTTGAAGACCCAGAATTGCACTTCAACAGGACAAATAAAGACTTTCTAGCCAGCCTCCTTGCAACTCTCTACTAAGTTTGCATGCTTGAATCCGTTCATTGGCAGCCTCCGTAAACTGTGAGCTCTACCAATAGAATGGTCTTGCATGGTTCTGACCACATGATTCGGTCTGGCCGGAGTGGGAACTCTACAATCTCCCTGGAAACTGGAGCTGCCTCCGCAAGTCAACCCTCATAGTCAACTCACTGCTAAGTGAGAGAACATTCAATGTTTGTTCTGGTGGGGGATAATGGTTTCTCCGGCCCTTGCCAACAAGATCAGGTATTGCTGCGGCGCAGGAGATCTGCTATTACGCTCCCTTATGCATGAATCTGCCACCTCTGCCAGTTTCCTCAGCAGCAGGTCATGTCTCTACGTGTAACGGCCTTCGGACAAAGCTATTTAACAGCCCGTCGAGTGCTGGAGGCTCGCATTGCTGACATTGCAAAGAGGAATGATCTTCTCAGTACCAAACTACTAGTGGAGGTTTCTTGGATTAAGGTAAATGATAAATGGCCAGTATTTGTATAGTGCCTTCTTAGGGTTCTACAACCCCCCAAGGCGCCTCACAACACAATCAGTCTTCCACTCATTCACACACAGACTCACACCCTTTCACAAGGTGTCAAAGGGTGTTCTAAACAAGCTCAGCCTGGCTTAGGGCATCTTCGACACATCAGCCCATGACTGGAGTCTGTCCATGATGCTCTTTGCACTCATGGGCCTCTCTAGAGTCCTTCCATTGTTACATGAAGTAGTCCTTTGCAACAGCCAAGAAAACGTACACTGTGGCCCGGGCTTAACACCTCACGAACCAGCGGAAGGTTTTTTTTGTACTTGTTGCCACAGTTATTCAGCTCTTGGAAACGCAAACACTGCTGCAACTTTTAGTTTTACAAATACAGAGCTAATCCGGGGCGTGATTGTTGCTGACAGTTAATCACAGCACTTTGTCAAGGCATTTACCTGGTAGTTTGAGATTTTGCAACATCTCACAATATATCCTGAGAGGTGACAAACAACATCAAGAAACGTTGTAATTTTACTTTTTACTTTTACTTTTAAAGGATTAGTGCTACAAAAACCACTTTAATCCTACATTTTGTTTCTTGCAGCTGATTGTAGATTAGCATATAGTGTATGAAAATAAATAATTTTGTTTTAGACCCTTTTTTGAATGCTATAAAATAAAAAATTGTAACTAAACAAAAGTATTTTTATACTTGGAGTTGTTGGTTTCCAGTAAAGTTATCTTCTATAATAGGATCCAGTATATAATTCTAAGAAATGTTGGAAACTGTATGAATATTTATTCTTGTATGTACTTACATTTAAATATGTTGAGTAATAGCATTCTTTTTTAACTCCACCCTTTCTAAGGTGAACATAGTGATCTTTATTCTGGCGGCGAAGGCTTCCTGTGGCCGCAAGCAGAAGGCCGTGGAGAAGTCCGGAGCTATGTGAGTTTCCGAAGCACGTGTAACACAGCATCCTTTTTTTTTTTTGCATAACTGTAACATTCAAATCCTCTCACTTTCAGCCTGGCTCTACGCCTGGCCTTCCTCCTCCTACTGCTTATCAGCGCCACCTGGCTGCTTGGTTTGTGGGCGGTCAACAGTAACGTCCTAATTTTCCACTATCTGTTTGCGATCTTCAGCTGCTTGCAGGTAACGCTTTGATTTCTTTATACACACACCTACTTTTAAGATCTAAAATCAGGCCGATGAGTTAAAATTATTTGTTTTGTTTTCTTTGCAGGGAGTCTTTATCTTCTTCTTCTATGTGATCTTTAACAATGAGGTGAGGAAAAACCTCAAGAACGTCTTCACAGGAAAGAAGGTTGTACAGGACAGCTCCAGCACCACAAGGGCCTCTTTACTCACCGTTAGTGGACAACTCTTGTTTTTATAAATGAGGGTTTACTATTGTACAATGACTGAAGTGTAAAATCTCCTTCCTGTTTTCTCCACCTTCAGCGCTCTCTGAACTGCAACAATATGTACTCAGACGATCGGCCTATGTATCGAGCAGCATTTGGAGAGTCGAACATCTCCCTGGACAGTACACTCAGGTCAGGCAAGAGCCGCAGCAGCTACCTGGCTCACACACTCAGGTACAACACTGACAGCATGGCTGCTTCTGCTTAACTCGTGCATAGGGATCCTATTTCTGTCTTGTCATGGTTTTGTCACAAGGCATCAAATGTTTAACTCATACTAATACTCAGAGCTCCACACACACACACACACACACACACTCTCTCTCTCTCTCTCTCTCTCTCTCTCTCTCTCTCTCTCTCTCTCTCTCTCTCTCTCTCGCTCTCTCTCTCTCGCTCTCTCTCTCTCTCCCTCTCTCTCTCTCTCTCTCTCTCTCTCTCTCTCTCTCTCTCTCTCTCTCTCGCTCTCGCTCTCTCTGCCATTCTGCCACTGAATTTTCTTTCTCATTGTAACCTCAGTGTATACTTTCTGTTTGTAGAGTTTTCTCTCCTTTTTCCTTAACATGCATGCTGCTTTATAATGCATCAGCAATATATTGATCAAGGTAACTTTTACGATTGTGTGGGTTATCGGCTTGTTACACACACACACACACACACACACACATGCCTTAATGGTTTTAGAGAACACACCTTTATGTTTGCTCAATTTTCTGATAAAGATGAAAAGCATATGAACACGTCTTAAGTATTGTAATGATGATCAGGTCAAAGTTAAGAGCATCAGAACAGTGTTGTTCTTCTGTTATACTTTCAGCACTTACCTTTTTGAGCTAACCTTGTTTTCGTCTAGTTTTTACTAGCTATAGAAAACTTTTTTCATTTTTTTTTTCAATATGTATCTACAGTAGTTGTGTCATCCTACTGACGTTTATTTTATTTCTGTTTGGGCAAGATCAGTTTGGATTATATTGGCTTGTGTAGCTTAGCAGGATCTCTGGACTAGAAATCTCAATTTTAGAAGAAAAAAATGTGCAATACTGTTATGTGAAAGGCTTTTTGATGTGATGTTTTAAAGGGAAAATTCATAAAATGACCTCCTTAGCTGAAAGAAAAAAAGAGTTGTTATGCAGTGTTAGGGACTATAATATCAATACCCTGCAACAATGAACATGGATTTCTGCTTAAAAGAAGATTTTTAGGACTGATAGGTACAAAATACGTTATACGAAATGGTTTGTTAAACTGGCCGCATAAATTACTGACAATCAGCTTATTTTTGTTTAAAGCCATGTTGTTGATTTTTACTTTTTGAGTTTGCATTTGAAACTTGGTAGTCATGAATGATTAGTCAATATCAAACTTTATTTGCTTGAAATACTCTTACAGTAAGGTCAAATCTGGGACAAATATTAAATAATCCATAATAAAGTGTGTGTGTGTGTGTGTGTGTGTGTGTGTGTGTGTGTGTGTGTGTGTGTGTGTGTGTGTGTGTGTGTGTGTGTGTGTGTGTGTGTGTGTGTGGGTAGGTGGGTGTGTGTGTGTGTGGGTGAGTGTGTGTGGGTGTGGTACTTTAAGAATGAATGTGGGAGCTTGCTTCATCTGATGAAGCTAATTGGAGACACACGAGACAATATCAGGGTCAAAGAGAGCAAAAGCCCCAGGAGAGAGGAGAGGTAGCCTCCTGAAGGCTTAATGGATAAATATACGGACAGAGAAGAGAGGAAGGCAGGAAGCAAACAGCAGAAAGACAGAAATAGGATTGTACCTGTTGAGGGAGGAGAAAGTATTACATACATGGATACTTTCTCCCTGCAGCTGTTGGCAAGATGTGAGCTTCTTCCAGAAGTTTCTCTCAGATCAGATCCTCTCTAGCTAATTTACCCTCCAGGTCACTTCTCAGCATGAAATAAAGAAAACCAAAATTGTTGTGATTGTGAAATTAAGGAGTGATTAAGCTAACATTATTTGTTGGATTGGAATATTAAAGCTCTGCATGAGACACTGAATGCTAACATACCCACTACATCTCTTTCTCTCTAGAGGTCTTCACACAGACAATGTATTAACATCAGTCTGACCTGAGAACTCCTGAACCCGTCCTTTAATTAGCTTTGTCAAACCACAACAGGAGCAGATGTTTGTAATGAGAGATGTCTGCTGTTTCAGCTGTTAGTTGTGGAAAACCACAAGTTGAGGCTTGAATTGACTTCCAGTAACGCTGTACTTCCCCTTTCTGTGTCCTCTGAACACCTCTTCGTGTCTGCTCTCCTCTCCCGCCTCCATCTGTCTGGAACATTTCAGGGACGAGTCCGGTCAGAAGCCCAGCGTGTCTTCAGGAACAGCTAAAGGACACACTGACCTGGATGGACCGCTGTTCCACAGAAGTGGCACCAAAGAAGATGGTGAGTGGGTGTTTTTTGTTTTGTAAAGGATGTTTTTATGAAAAGATGTTGAACTTTTTCTCCTCGTGGTTCCATCAGACTCTGACTCAGATAGCGACGTGTCTATGGATGAGCACAGCTCCTCCTACGCCTCCTCCCACTCCTCAGACAGCGAGGACGACGACATGGACATAAAGCCCAAATGGAACAATGAGAGACCCATTCACAGCACCCCTAAAGGTAAATGTCAGAATTGCTGTCCTTTAATACACAATCTTCTCTCACGTTTGCTGTTTTGCCATTATAAAGACTTCTGTTTTTCACTAGGTGATTCGATATCCAATCACAAGAAGCCTTACTGGCCAGTAGATGCCACCACAGCCAGTGACAGCGAGGATCTAAGTGGGATGGAGAGGCTCAGGGTGGAGACCAAGGTGAATGTTGAGCTGCACCCAGAAAATAAACTGAACCACATTAGTGAAAGAGAGGAGGAAGCTCAGGACAGACAGACACCTGGTGACTCTAAAGACACGGCGCCCCCTAGTCAACCCAACAGCAACCACCAACCAGAGCAGAGGAAAGGTGAGAAAGTTTGGTCATTTTGTTTTTGTTCTGAAACAAAAATCCTTCCAACATGAATCAATCGTCTTATCCAGGTATCCTAAAGAACAAGATCAGCTTCCCTCCACCGCTAAATGACAAGAACATGAAGAACCGTCTGAGGGAGAAGCTGAGCGACTATAACTCCCAGACAATCACCTCCCCTCCACCCATCAATAACAACACCTCCCCCCTGCCTCCCCCCTCAGTCAACATCATGACCCCTACGTCTCGACCGTCATCCCAGGCCTCCACAGAGGGAGGCGGTCGCCCCAGCAACCACGACAACAGCTCAAAGGTGAGGCCACCTATTGCTCCACGGCCGCTGATTCCTGCTGCGGCACCATCCACTGGCATCCACCGGGAGACCAACGGAGGCGTGGCCATGCACTTGAAGTCAGGGACGATGAATGGAGGAAACGAGTCTGACTCAGAGTAAGGATGCCGGCATGTTGCAGCAACAGTTGTCCTCTCTAATAGAAACAAGATTTATGGTGGAAAAGGAGATGTTTTTCTTACCGTTCATGCAAGCTAATTTTTGAATATGCGCAATTGAAAAGTCCAACACCCTTACTCTAGACCTGTACTCCCAATCCGAGCCTTCAGAATACATGAGTACACAACGTTTGTTCCTGAGGGTTCAGTTTTAGATTTTCACCCCTTTTGGGCACATTTTCTTCCATAATTCCTAACATAAGGCAATTATGTATCCATATAAGAATTTAGCATGCTAGCTAATTAGCGATGGGTACCGAATTCGGTACTTTTTAAGGTACTGACCGAATTCCACAGTACCGACTGAGCACCGATTCACGTCTTTTGAAACGGTGCCTTGTTTCGGTACCCGTCCTTCATAACGAGAATTTGCCAAGACAGCTGCGCCTGCGCAAGAGCGTTATGTCGTGGGTCGCTGTGAGCCAGTTGTAAACAGAGCAGCATAGGTAGAAAGAACGCACGCTAAAGCTTGGGTCCACTTCACTAAATGTGATGGGTAACTGGGTGATGATGAAACCAGCGACAACAATCTAAGTGAGACATCCTCATCTTAATCTGCTCCGGTAGGTAAATAAAATGTTTAAGATACCGTTAGCTTGATATGTTAGCTTCCATTTCACTAATGGTGTGTTCGCTTTCTCCTCGGAACTCCGAATTTCTGACTAGAAGAACATGAACACGCTCTAAAGTTTGGCTTCACTTTACTAAATGCGACGGGTGATTGGGTGAAGATTAAACTAGTGACAACGATCTAAGTGTGAGGCATCATCGTTTTAATCTGCTCCAGCGGCTAAATAAACTGTTTAAGATAACGTTAGCTTGATATGTTAGCTTCCATTGCCACCATTGTTATCAGCTAATGGTGCGTTCGCTTTCTCCTCGGAAATTCTAACTTCCCAGTAGGAAAAATCAAATGAACAAAGACGGCAAAAGGAATGAAGATACACAGTAAATTTAGTGCACAGTAAAGATGTTTGCTTCAGTTTAATTATCAACTTATAAAACTACAAGGACGATGTGAAAATACAAACAGTTGTATGTTATCTATTGTAATATTCATCAAATATGGTTATATATTGAGAAAAATATATATTTAATTATAAAAAATGAATTAAAATATTAAACACTCAAAAGTATCGAAAATTGGTACCGTTAAGTACCGGTATCGATTCCTAGGTACCGGAAATTAGTACCGAATCGATTCAAATGTCAAAGGTACCCATCCCTACGTTGAAAAATTAGGCAGGTTTTTTCTTTCTTAGTTTATTCTTAAATTTAAAATTACAGCAACTCTGTGCCACCAAACATCTGGGACAACCCCACCAACAACAGGTCAAAACTTCCATAACTCACACCAAACCTCCTCCCATTAGCTCTCTGCTGGCTACACACACACACTCATGCACGTTGCCAGGGTAACAAACTGACACACAGCTCTACCAGCCAAAAGAGGACAGGCTGTATTCACAGACAACAGCTCCGTCACCTAAACATTTCCCAACAAGACCAGAACCAGACTCTAAACTGAATCTTAGAGGTGACACTAGGCAGCCCAGCTCTGGCTTTGCTTCCTTCTCAGCTGCTGCAAGGCGAGAACGCATGCCTATATAGAAGGAGTATGCAAAGACGGGGGAGAGACTCAGTCAGAGAGCAGCTTGATGATGGGTTATGATCCAATCATCAAAGACAAGATGTTCACAATGATTAGATGAGGTTTTTCTAGAACTGTACATTTCAGAGGAAATTAAAATTGTTCCTTTTTAACAAAACATTAAGATATTGGTTACTAGGGATGTGTATTGGTGAAATTCTGGCAATACGATACGTATTACGACACAGGGGAGGCAATACAATGTATCTTGATATATCGCGATACATTCAGATGTAATTAGCGATTTTTAAAAAGTTTTACTGAATTTATCGTTTGAAAATTCAGTAAACAGTCCAAATTGATACTTAACATGTTTAACATGAGGTTTCTGAACCATAGTGGAGGGATTCACATTTCAGTGGTGGAAACAAAACCCATTGCACACTGCTGCCAACTAGCAGTTGGCGTTTGAATTGCACCAAAAGAAAAGAAAATACACAGATGTTTGCTAGTAAATTCTTCCAAAAATTAGATATATGGCTTTTTAATATCGATGTAATATCGCTGGAAAAAATATCACAACATATTGCCATGTTGATATTTTCCTACTTCCCTATTGGTTACTATCGGAATGTGAAGAGTATTTCATGCAATATGGCAAAAATGCTCCAGAAAAGCAACTCCTATTGCACCTTTAATGAAATTTTGTTCTCAATACAAAGTAATTAATTCCTTCAATGAAGAGTGAATCATAATATTGCTAATTAATATATAATTGTGAAGTGTTTGATTCAACTGCAGCATGAAAAACGTCCCCATCCTGCTTGAATGCTGCATGAGAACTTCCTGCATCCCTGCATGTTCACATCTTTCTCCTTGCACATTTCCTCCCTAACCCCCCACCCCCCCCCCCCCCCCCCCTAAACAGTGGCAGTAACGAGACTTCAATCTGACCTGTTAGGAAAACGCTGACCAGCCCGCCCTTATGAGAGGACGAATCCCCGCTGGAGCAGAAGAGAGCAATACAGAACGTTAGGTAAACAGGAGGAAAGGAATTCTCTTGTGTTTCCTCTCTCTGGAGAGCAGTATTAACGGCAGCCTTTAGGAGTGCCATGGACGAGAAAACAAGCGGAGATGATGGAAAAAGATGTGAGATAATAAAGGGAGTGCTCTGTCAGACTGTACCAGAAACTGAGTCTGGAGCCACGAGTGCCAAAACCAGTGAAAGGAAGGGTTGGACAAAGGCCCGGAATAGGAAGAATGTTCCTCTCCTGAGGTTATCCAGCACCTGTAGGAGCTCTTCATGCTGTATTTCAAGATTTAAAAGCATGAACAATACTTTTGGGCAGCTTCTTTCTTACAGAGCAAGGAAGAGAAGTAAACACAAGCTGGTACAGTTGCTTTTGTAGTCCAAAAGGATTTCAAGAACTACAACTCCCACAAGCATCGACCTGTGGTTAGTGACTTCTGGACCTTGTGACACAAACGCTGGACGATTTCCAACACCAAGTGCTCTTTTCCACAGCCTCTCGGTGTCGTGCATTCACAGTGTAATTATTCTGTACATAGTTTTAAGCTGAAGAAGAAATTGTCTGTTTTTGTATTTCAAATGAAAGAACAATTTTGTAAAATAAATAAAAAATAAGGACCCTCATGCTGGGAATACCGCTCTAAAAAAATCCTTTTTAACTGCTGGTTTATTAGGGAATAAAATCTGTGTGCCTTCATTCTGATAGATTGTTGTAGACTTTAACATTCTTGAAATATTTTCTGGTAAAAGAGAAATCAGAAGGGCTGAAATGAGCTTTAACGAAAGAGCACTACGAACCTGAAGCCTTGTTTTCCAGTGTGTGTGTGTGTGTGTGTGTGTGTGTGTGTGTGTGTGTGTGTGTGTGTGTGTGTGTGTGTGTGTGTGTGTGTGTGTGTGTGTGTGTGTGTGTGTGTGTGTGTGTGTGTCCAAACATACACCCTTCTGGTTGCTATTATTCAAGTTCATTTTATTTAAATGTGTTTAAAACATGCAGATTTTTGTTATCTTCAAAGTGAAGTCCACCATTTAGAACTTTTTCTTATTCAAAGTCCCAGATCACAGTGGCTCCACCTGTCATGTATTATGCAGCTAAACTCTGGTTTACCAAGATAAATGCCTTTTAAACTGGTTACAACCAGTGTTTGACCTCCATGTAAATGTTTTTGTATGATCCAAGACACTGGAAATGTTTTTTAAGATAATGTATATTTATTTTTTATGTTCAAAGACACTGGAATGAAAAAAATGATTGTGATTGTAAAATAAAAAAGGCCCTTATGAATTTTTAACCATTGCGTGCCTTTATTAGTCTGTTACATGGTTGAAACCTCAATGCCCATTTAGATAATCAGCAAATAATGAGAATCTCTGAGGGTTGTTTCAAACACCTTCTTGGATTAGTATCTGAAGATAAGGGGGGATGTGACCAGGTACTAGCCAGGTGTACATGGACATAATTTTGACTTTAGAAGTGGGGGGACACAACTGAGATGAGGACCGGGGAGATCTTTACAGTAAGTATGCAAAAAATATGTATAAATATGTATAAATCTACAGTCTAGTGTATCTTTTATGCAATGTCAGGAATGCAGAACTGTCAAGCACACAGGTGGAAGGAACAGCCTGGCAAGTATCAGCAGAGCCAATAGATGAGCGTATAGAGGGTTCTATTGGGAAACAGGCTTCAACACAACCAGTGCATGTATTATGGTATAATATTGTTTTTGGACAGTAAAAAGTGCAGGGGACAAAAACTCCATGGCTGTTGAGTGCATTTCTCTAACTCACTGTGTTATTTAGAAAATGTCTGCTATTTTCTACATTCTGGTTTCTCCCTTTTGATTATCCTCAGTACTGTTTGCTGCTTCTCTGACTTTTCATTGTTTTTATATAGCTTTACAGTTTTCTATCTTTTGTGTGCTTTTTGTGCCATTTTCAGTTACCGGTATGTTATTTTTTTGTTAGAATTCTTCATCATTATCTCTGTAGGAGGTGGTGCTCACTCCTCACCCCTGCCACGTGGACCTCAAGGGATAAACCATCAACCCTGCTCAATGGTCAACTTTCCTCGCGGGGTCAGGTCACCCATTAGCACAGTGGGAGGGTTAAAGCAGGTAAAATCATGTAAAAATATTGAAAAACCCCAAAGGATCTAATAATGAAAAACAAAAGAAAATGGAATTTAGATGAACACAACAGTTAGTGGGATTACTCGCCTTTTAACTGTTATTGACTTAAGACGCTGCAGAGCTCTTCTCTAAGCTCTGTCTGCAGCATTCTGCATATTCCTTTCACTTTCTTCATCTCTCACCTTAGTTATCACAGAACTTCCCACTGCATGACCATCTAAAGTCACCCAAGTCTGCATGTCATGTTAAACATGTTAAACATGTTAGACAGGAAGTATATGCACACAAACAGAACTCGTGTAACCCGAACCATGAACGTAACGCGTTCCACTGTAGCTGGAGAATGGTATGCCATACATAGCATCCACAATAACAGAGCCTGTTTTGAGGAGGTAGATTAAGCTCAACTTTCTTCAGCCGAATAGCTCTTAAACAGAAACCACTCTAGTCGCCAGTCCACATCAGTTCCGTTATGCCATTACCAGTATAGCTTCCTTTTGCCGAAACATTTCCCTTTTCACAATCAACACTTTAGGTTTTAAAATGGCCTCTCAACTCACCTTTGGCACCCACATCAAATAACTCTGCTAAGACATCAGTCTACCACCGTAAGAATGCAGTGCTCAGCCTGGCAGATGCAGAGAAGCTCGTCCACTCCTTTGTCTCCACCAGCCTGAATAACTGCATTGCACCCCTAGATCTCTGGCAACAGCATTCAGAGATTACAATGCATCCAGAACAGTGCTGCTAGGATCCTGATGAGGGTGCACAAGTATGAGCACATCACCCCCATTCTGAAAGCTTTTTATTGGCTCCCAGTCCCACTCAGAATTGAATACACATTTTAACTCCTCTTCTATCAGTGCATTCATGGACATGCTCCCCTTTATTTAAAGGAATTCCTCGCCTTCCTGAGATCATTCATCCTCCCTTCTTCAATTTCAAATACCATTGAAACCTCCAGAGTAATGCTCCACGGCATGTGCTATCGGGCCTTTTCATCTGCTTCAAGGCTGTTGAACACCCTCCCTGACCACCTGAGGTTTGAACTCGATCAGTTTGAGCTGAGGAAATGTGATCAGCAGCGGATTGTCATGGGATGATCTACATGATCTAGTATATTGTGAAGAAATGTGTGTGGCAAGGTGGATAAGCGAGGGACCGGACGGGATTCGATCCCCAGACTCCCGGGTGAGAGTCACACGCTCTAACCAGTCAGCCAAAGGGACATCCCCTTGGCCAAGTAGCAAGGGTGCATGATCAATCGGGACATTGTGACAGGACGCTCACACTGTCACATGTGTCAATTTAAAAAAGTGCCAGGCCAATAACATCCCTTCTATTTACTGCAATATTTTCTGAAGGTCTGATCATTCATGAACGCAAGGGGAGAATAAGTCTCTACTGCCAAAGAGCAAGCAGACGGAAAAGTTAGAAATAAATGGAAAGTCAGAATAAGCCTTTCCATGCATGAATTAACTTCAAACAGGATTTTTGTCACAACATCGTAACCATTAAGCGTTACCAGATGTTTGTTCTGTTTAGCTGGATCACTTGGAGGACAGAAACATGAAAACCCTCATTTTGTTTTGTGTTCTTGTGTTTTGGTTGAGAGGTAAGCCCTCATCGACATCCGAGACACAATGTAGGTCTCAGAACTCTGTCAGTTGTCCTTATCGCTGTCCAAACGCAGCCAGTCAAGCTAAATTATTCAGACTCAGGAGACCTACAGTTGACAGCCTGGATGACCTCAGGTGCAGCTGCCAGCTGAGGAGGAGCATGGGGAAACAACTGGTGCAACGGGGCCATCTACTGGTGGACCAGGAGAGTACATGTCAGACACAAACGTTTTCACATTGATGATGGTAGTTTGCATAAATTCTAAAGGGTTTGAAGAATGATCTAATGAATTATTCTCTTTTCATCATGAATATATGAATAATAATAAAAATTCAGACTAATCCTGCTGAGAATATCTCTAGAGGTTGGCTGTCTTTTACAAGAATGGTTATCAGGATTTGGCCCAAAATGTGCAAAAATGACATATACTACAAACATTTCTCTTTGCATGAACTGTAATGTAATTGTCAACACACACACACACACACACACACACACACACACACACACACACACACACACACACAAAAGCTTATACACTCCCTTCTAAAAGCATCTTTAGCCAGTCATCATCTATAATAATTATTTGTAATTAATGCTTCATATTTTCTGCTACAGTCAATTTGTTATACTTTTATTCAAACATTTTAAAGTTGAGCTCATTACTGATATCATTCCACAGACTAACACCTGTCTTTACCAGCGCTACGAACACAAAGTTACCTCTTAATTCATGTGTACTTCCTGTTTCCTCTGACATTTTTAGTAAATGGGCTGAAAGAGTTTGGATCTCTACTTTAAATATAAATTGAGCTCTTTTAAATTTAACCAGCTTTTCAAATACCAGTATTTTAGTAAAATAAAAATGACTTATTCTGTTGACCTGAATAATAAAAACTCATATATTAAAAAAAAAGAAAATTAATAGCAAACACTACATTTCTGCCAAAACTCTGAACATGCTTACAAGAGGGTTTGCTAAAGCAGGATTAGTCAAGAAACTGGGACAAAAAACAAAAACAAAACAACGAAACTTGAAAAGTGCACACAGGGTCTACTGGAGCCCACAGGGACTGCAAGGGGAAAAACTTGGACCAAGACCCTGGAAATGCTCTCAGGAAGACTCGCAGCATCTGGATCAGTGAAGAAACTTGGAAAAAGAAAATCAATTAAAACATTTGGGGTCAGTTGGACTCCATTAGGATTGTGTGAGTGTGTGTGTGTGTGTGTGTGTGGGGGGGGGGGGGGGGGGGGTAAAAGATGGGCTTTTCTTATGACTATTTTATTTATCAGGGATCATCTAACATCACAGTTACACATGTCTTGTCACTAGAAACTCCAAATATGGTTGGAGTTTTGTTTTTTCAATTCTGAAAGAAGGGCAACTCCAGACAGAACTCCACTGATCCTCACAGGGCTCACTGGTAATCTGACAGTTCTTACTTTCTTGTAATCTACAGTGTCATCTCATGGCTCAGGAGTCAGTTGACACAGCTTTTCCTTCTGTTTCTTTCCATTGAACACTTCCTTTATGCAAAGCTCTCCTGTTTCTTCCTCATTTGTACTCGAGCAGCAGCACGAGGATATTATAACCTTTTTACTTGAACTCGCTTCACCGTTTTAAAACACAAACTCTGTTGCAGGGGACATGTCGAGTTTGGATTCTGTTGCTTGCAAAAGACGAAGAAAGAAAAAGTCATACTTAACCATCACTCAGAGGTTAGTGGAACAAAGAGCAGCTGTTACATTAGGAACGTTCTAATCTCTTTCTGTAATACTCTGCAGACATTTAGGGACACATTACTTAATAGTTTACAGACTGTGTAACCCATAAGAAAACATCTGGAGCATTTGGAATTTCTTCTATGTTAGAATTTCCAAAACATGTGTTTGCTGATATAAGTATGTCACCATTTATTTTGATAATTTTTTTGCTGTAACTTTTCGGACAAACATTAAATATACTCTGTATTTATTCATGTTTTTCAGTGTTCAAATATGCTCCATTATAATGTATTTATTTCATTTTTTATGCTCCATTATGAATTACTAAAGAGCTCTTGGCACCTAGATAATACAGCCTGAAAGCAGCAGCTAAAATGTCTCTGTAATAATATCTGTATTATTAATTATCTTAAGGTCCACCAGTTTAATAATTCAACACCCTGCTGTGCTAGAACTGACCACAAGGTAGTGCTAATGAGATGTTAAAAATTTGGGCAAACGAATTTTTCATACATTTATGTGTGTGTGTGTGTGTGTGTGTGTGTGTGTGTGTGTGTGTGTGTGTGTGTGTGTGTGTGTGTGTGTGTGTGTGTGTGTGTGTGTGTGTGTGTGTGTGAGAGAGAGAGATATATTAGACATACAAGTACGCCTTATGAATTGTAACATAGACCTGAAGGGATGAGCGTTAGTTTCGTTAAATGTTACAACGGCTTGCCTTACTGCTCAAAATGAGCATCAGTAAAAAGTGTTACGTCAAAATGTGTCCCCCGGACAGATTCTTTCTCCGTTCTCCACTTAAACTACATCTCTAAACA